ACTGGGACCTGTTCAAAAGGTTACCCATGAGTTCTCCAGTGAATTGATTTCCAAATTCTAAAATTGTTTATTGAACACACACACACAACACACACACAAAGTGACCTTATACTGAATCAGACCATTGGTCCCTCCTCTGATTGGCAGTGTCACTCCAGGGTCTCAGGCAAAAGGTCTTTCACATCACCTCCCACCTGCTTTTAACTGCAGATGTCAGGGACTGACCCTGGGGCTTTCTGCATGCAAAACAGGGACTCTTCCACTGAGCCAAAGCCTCTCCCGCAAAAGACTGGAAAAAAAAATTAGTGGGCCAGCTTTTGAGATTGCCAGACTTCCTTGTCCGGCTGGAAGTTAGGAATGGGAGGAGAGAGGAAAAATTAACAGATCTCAAAGGCGTCTTTGGCAGCATCCTACAAGAAGGAGGAGGAGGAGACTGGATTTATACCTTGCCCCTCACTACCGGATGGAGTCTCAGAATGGTTTACAATCTCCTTTCTCTTCCCCTCCCCACAACAACCATCCTGTGAGGTAGGTGGGGCTGAGAGAGCTCTTTCAGGCACTGCCCTTGAGTTGAAACGGAGATGCGCACCACAACCCTAGAATCGGATTCGACTGGCTTTTGAGCAAGGGAACCTTTACATTTACCTTACCACATGGACTGGGACCTGTTCAAAAGGTTACCCATGAGTTCTCCAGTGAATTGATTTCCAAATTCTAAAATTGTTTATTGAACACACACACACAACACACACACAAAGTGACCTTATACTGAATCAGACCATTGGTCCCTCCTCTGATTGGCAGTGTCACTCCAGGGTCTCAGGCAAAAGGTCTTTCACATCACCTCCCACCTGCTTTTAACTGCAGATGTCAGGGACTGACCCTGGGGCTTTCTGCATGCAAAACAGGGACTCTTCCACTGAGCCAAAGCCTCTCCCGCAAAAGACTGGAAAAAAAAATTAGTGGGCCAGCTTTTGAGATTGCCAGACTTCCTTGTCCGGCTGGAAGTTAGGAATGGGAGGAGAGAGGAAAAATTAACAGATCTCAAAGGCGTCTTTGGCAGCATCCTACAAGAAGGAGGAGGAGGAGACTGGATTTATACCTTGCCCCTCACTACCGGATGGAGTCTCAGAATGGTTTACAATCTCCTTTCTCTTCCCCTCCCCACAACAACCATCCTGTGAGGTAGGTGGGGCTGAGAGAGCTCTTTCAGGCACTGCCCTTGAGAGAACAGCTCTGAAGGAACTTATGACTGATCCAAGGTCACACCAGCAGCTGCATGTGGAGGAGTGGGGAATCAAATCCAGTGCTCCCAAATTAGAGTCCACTACTCCTGACCACTACACCAAACTGGCTTTGCTGAGTTCCAGGAGTACATGATGCAAAAGCACTCTGGAGAAGGTGGAAACTTGCACACCACTCCGTTGTATTCTCTTGGCTGGCCTTGGAAAGAAAGGTACAACACAGCTTCTGGTTTTCCATTTTGCTCTGGAGCAAGACACCGACCCACCTTCTTTACTGCAAAGGTTCACAGGGTGAGTAGTCCAAAGCACAACTTCTGCCAGAGATGGAGCCTTAACTGGTTTGGTTTTCTTGCTTTTTGCTCCTCCATGAAAGTCTCTGACAACCCACAGGTATCATCACCACCCACACATGGATGCAGACACAACCTATCAAGGCCGGCCTGCCCAAAGAAAGCAGCTAAGAATCCATTGATGGAAGAAATCTATTCTTTTCTGTGTGGAGGAAAGAGGAGCAAGAGAGGATCCACCTGGTGTGAAAAGAGGGCTGCCTCCTTCAGGACAGAAAATGTCAGATCTGAACCTCTGAATGGAGACCACAGTACCTCTCCAGCTACATGGAGGGAAACAGAAGGTGCTAGAAATAACCACCTTGACCTGGATGGCCCAGGCTAGGCCAATCTTGTCAGATCTCAGAAGCTAAGCGGGGTCGGCCCTGGTTAGTACTTGGATGGGAGACCACCAAGGAAGTCTAGGGTTGCTACGCAGAGGCAGGCAATGGCAAACCACCACTAAAACGTCTCTCGACTTGGAAATCCTGCGGGGTTGCCATCAATGCTCCCTCTAAGCTGTGGAATCTTGTGAGCAAAAATTCTACTTTGTGAGCTCCTGGCATTCAAGTTGTGAGCGAGCGATTTGGCTGCTGCATAAACTAAGTTTGCTCTGGAGCCCTCCTTCCTGAGCTGGGACAAAAATGCGTGAGCCGGAGGCTAAAAAACTGTGAGCTAGCTCACACCAACTCAGCTTAGAGGGAACACTGGTTGCCATGAGTCAGTTGTGACTTGGCGGCGCTCTCCAGCATCACCAGATATAGCCAGATGCCTGGATTGATGGATGCTGATTTTAGGCAAACCAAACTGCAGGATGCTGAAATGTCCTGTTCTCTCACTCCAGACCTCGCTAAGCTTTGTTGTTTATGTAGTCGGTTTCTTCTGCAGGCTCAGTGAGAGATGTTCGGAAGGACCCCTTGCAGCTTCCGGGATCCTCTCCTCTTTCTCCTGTATGCTTCTTTTCTTTCTGACTTGATTATAAGCCTGTGTTTCCACTTTTGCGTAGGGCCTAGATTTTATGCACTTTACTGGTGAATGTGGGGCATATGCCTTCTCCCCCCACCCATCACCACTGAATTCAGAAGGGCACAGAAGAGGCAAACCCGGTTCTGTTCTCATAACTACTTTGTTAAGGGGGAGGGGGCAGAGAGAGAATTCTAGCTAGCCCAAAATCACTCAACAAAGCTGTACAGCTGAGCAGGGAAGTAAACCCAGGTTCACCCCATCCCATATACCACACTGGCTCTTGTTGACCAAGCACGCCCACAATGGCGATGGCTATGGAAAGGAACATACTGAGAAACAGGACTACATAAGAACATAAGAGAAGCCAGTGTTGGATCAAGCCAATGGCCCATCCAATCCAACACTCTGTCACACAGTGGCCAAAAATACCAGGTGCCATCAGGAAGTCCGGCAGTGGGGCCAGAACTCCAGAAGCCCTGTTCTTTTTTGAGGGTATTTTGTGTGTGTGTGTGTGTGTGTGTGTGTGTGTGTTTGCATGCCTGGAAGTCATGGTGACCCCTTCTGGCAAGCCCCCTAGCGGGGCTTGGACGTTTCATAGAGGTGGCTCGATATTGCCTGCCTCTGCGTCCGGTGAGAAGAGGGTCCCCCCCCCCTTTTTAATAAGGGAAGGCAAAACACATAAAGACCTACAGTGAACATCTGTACAGCCTGCACGCACATATGTAGGTCAGTTTCTGAAAATGAACCAGGGTGCATTAACTCGACAAATGGAACTGGGGACTGGTACCTGGATCAAGGTGGGGTTTCAATCGCACTTTTGGCTTTATGAGAATTACTCAACGCACGTAAAAAGAGAAGTGTACACTATACGTGTGTTCCCTGTAACTTATGAACAGGGCTACAGCCAGAGAGAAGGGAGGAGAGACAACTATGTACAAGCAAGGTGAGAGCTTCCTTTAACCCTTAACCACACTTTCAACAGAATCAGACAGAGCCTGCTTTGGCAGGGAGGGCGGGATATAAATTGAATAACTATATATACATATATGTATATATACATACATATATATACATACATATATACACACACACACACACACACACATATATATATATACACACACACACACATATACACACACACACACACAAACAACAAAACAGTAAAACAATGAAAAGGGAATCCCAATGGTGGCTATGTTGTAGCCTGGGGCCTTTCCATCGATCTATCGGGTATGTTTTCCCCCCCCCCCCCCCCCCGGATCTCAGGGTGCTGTACCACGATTCTCCCCTCTTGTACTTTATCCTCAGAACAACCCTGCGAGGTAGGTTAGGCTGAGAAAGAGCAAGTGTCTGGACTGAGGCCACCCAATGAGCTTTCATGGCAGAGTGGGAGAATTTGAGCCTGCAATCGCCCTTATCCTAATCCCTACACCACACAGGCTCACCAGAGGCTTACCCCTTGCGCTGTTTCTAGCACACTTCCCAGAGGCTGGCCACGAGGGAGTCACGCACTGGAGATAAATGGCCGGGCTAAACTCTTCCAGTTTGGTGTAGCGGTTAGGAGTGCGGACTCTAATCTGGGAGAAGCAGGTTTGGTTCCCCGCTCCTCCATATGCAGCTGCTGGCGTGACCTTGGGTCAGTTACAAGTTCTCTCAGAGCTGTTCTCTCAAGAGCCGTCCTTGAAAGAGCTCTCTCAGCCCCACCGACCTCACAGGGTGTCTGTTGTGGGGAGGGGAAGGGAAAGGAGATTGAAAGCCGTTCTGAGACTCCTTCGGGTGGTGAAGGGAAGGGTATCAATCCAGTCTCTTCTTCCTGCCCAGCCTCAATTTCTAACACTATTTACTCGTTCATACCTGGATATCCTCCCCCTATGGAAACTCAAAGCAGCTCACAACGTTCTTCTCCCTGCCGCCACTTCACCCTCACAAAAACAAGCCTGTGAGGTAAGGGTTAGGCTGAGAGTTTGTGACTGGCCCATGGTCTTCCAGCAAGCTTCCATGACAGGAGGTGGATTCGAACCTGGGTCTCCTGGATCCGAGCCCGACACTCCATCCACGACACCACACTGGCTCTCTACTCCTGTCCCAGCCTCGTGGGAACCCCGAGCGGGCCTCTACCGCCCTGCCGCTTCTCAGAAGCCAATGGAAATCTTCTCCAGCACCAAGGGCCAAACAAGGGACGTGTCTCCGAAGCGTCCGGCGAGGGAACAGAGCGACGCCACGGTAAAAAAAACAGCCCCTCCGGATATGTCCATAGATTTATTTCTTTTCTTTTTAAATTGCTTTATATATTTATACTATTTAAAAACAATCCACACACGCACACGGGCCCCCTCCGCTGATTGGAGCAAAGCGGGAAGAAAAAAAAATAAGAGAGATGTCACGGTGTGTCATCCTCCCCCCCCCCCCACACACAACAGAGCAAAGATGTCCCGGGACCCCCCCCCCACCCCCGGAGGCGGCTCCTCGGTGCCCAGTTCCTTCTTCCCACCCCTGGACGGCCACAACATTCCGTCACTGCAAACGCGACTGAGAGACGTGAGGTCGTTTTATGGCTCTTTCAAATGGGCCCCGAAAAAAAGAATGGGGTTCCGGGTGGGGTGGGGACAGAGTGAGAGAGGCGAGGAAAGGAAGGGGGGGGGAAGTGCTGTCTGAAACAGAAGGGCTGTGAAATGGGTCGCGAGAGAGCGAGGGAAGGAGAGAATGTGGCAGGGGAGGAAAGAAACGGAAAGGGGGGACGAGGGGCACACAGACAACGACATCGTGGTTGGAGAAGAAAGCCCCACACATTGCGGGGGGCGCCTGCTGGCCCTCCCCGGCCACGCCAGCGTCCAGCTAGTTTGATTTCGACCAGATTTTCGCGCTGCCTCGGAGCCTGTGGGAGAAGGAAACAGTTTCAGCGACGGACAGGCCCAACCTGCCTCTGGCCCCACCCGAGGGCTTCGGCCCGCTCTGGGGGGTGGACGATTTCTCACCGCCCTGAGGGAACTCCGAGGAGTCGGCCGGGATCCCGCCTCACCCTTTGCCCTTGGAGGCCTTTTTGCTGGCCTGCCGCTGGTTGGTGCCCGGTGCGGGCTCCCGGAGCTCGGACAGGTGCTGCTCAGGATCCTGGGAGGTGGCGGCTGCGGCTGCCGCCGTCGTCACTTTGATGGTCTTCTTCAGATTTGCAACCTGCTGGGGCAAAAGGGGGTGGCGGCGGTGAAGGAAAGGAAGCGACCCAAAAAGGAAAGGCGAAAAGACTTCGTTACATTGGAGGCAAAATCATACGGCAGAGCAAGAGAGGCACGGGAGATCTCGCTAGGCCTCCCGGTGAGTAGGAAGGCACTCCCTTGCGGAGTTAGCAAAAAGGTTCTCTCCTCTACCCATCCAAGGGGCCTGATCCAAGGGGCCCACCATTTCCCACAGCTGTGATGGCTGACAGGCACGCGTTCCCTCTCCTCTCTTCAGCAAAGCAATCCCTAGGACTTCTGCCCAAGTCACTCTTCCAGCTCCCCTTCTCAACTGGAAGGAAACCAGCCCAGAGCGGCAACTCATGTAGAGATGCAGGAGACAGCCTCGCAGAAAGGCGGGCAGTTCCTCCTGTGCCTCTGCATCCAGAAGAGGCGAAGGCTCCAGTTGGACCTGGGGAGAGGCTGATAGGAGGAAGGCCAAGCAAGAACAATGCATCGAGCAGAGTTGCGGCAGACAATTTTTCTGTGCTTTGGACTCGTTGGAGCTGTTTAATTAAATAGTTATTTTGTCCTCTGTGCATGTGTGAGAGAGAGAAAGAGAGAGATAGATCTCAAAGGCTTAAAAACGTTTGATTGCAGAGGGGTAGCTGTGTTAGTCTGTTGTAAAGTAAAGGTAAAGGTTCCCTTGCTCGAAAGCCAGTCGAGTCCGCCTCTAGGGTTGCGGTGCTCATCTCTGTTTCAAAGCCGAAGAGCTAGCGCTGTCCGAAGACGTTTCCGTGATCATGTGGCCGGCATGACTAAACACCAAGGCGCACAGAACGCTGTTACCTTCCCACTGAAGTGGTACCTATTTATCTACTTGCAAGTTCTTGCTTTCGAACTGCTAGGTTGGCAGGAGCTGGAACTAGAGATGGGAGCTCACTCCATCAGCGGCACCCAGGTCTCGAACTGCTGAACTACTGACCTTCCACAGCCTGCAGTTCAGCGTCTTAACCACTTGAGCCACCACAGCCCTTTCTTAGTCTGTTGTAGCCCCCCCCAAGCCCAAAATCTGGTGGCACCTTAAAAATTAAAAAGATTTTATTTCAATGTGATCTTTCTCAAGTCAGATATGTAATATGTAACGGAAAATGAAAACAAGGCTTCCCAGGACGCTTCCCCATCGCACATCTATCTGAAGAAGCAGACTCTGATTCACAGATGCTCACAGTGAAATAAATCTTGTTAGGTCTTTAAGGGGCCACGGGATTCTTTAAAAAGAACATTTGCCTGCAAGCAGCTGACTGAGACGAGGGCGCCCCCAGCGCCCAGCTACAAGGTCAAATGCCAGCCCTGTCACTGGGCAGGAATGAGGCTGTCCCTCTCTGCTGCAAGCCAAGCTGTGCAGCCAATGGTGACTTGCTGGCTTACATGCAAAGAGTGACCAATCTGCTGCCGCCGGGAACGGCCAAGAGTCTGCCAAGCCCCTCGTCCCCTTTGGTCCTCTTCTGTGCAAACGGACAACCTGATCTTGTCTTTTCAAGCTGCCAACTGACTTTGGAGAGTAAACAACATTCTTGGCCCGGGAGCAAAATGGGATGGCAGCGGATGCCACGCGGGGTGCCCGGAGGAGAAGTACAGAACCACACTAAGACTAAAACTGGTGGGAGGGAGGGTGCCAGTAAGACCTGGAATGTGGCCCACATGTCCCCCCCCCCACAACTGCGGGTGGCCGAAGACAGAGGGGAGCGGTCGTCTGCCAGCCGGGGCGCTCACCTCGCTCTCGATCTGCTGCTTCAGTCCCAGCTGCTGCTCCTTGTGCTGATTCGCTCGGCTGACTTGCTCCTCGATGCTGGAGAGGACCACCTCGCAGCCCTGGCACCTGGAGGGGACGGGCGAGACGGGTGACCCGGAGAGGACTGAGAGATATTCATGGGAGAGCAAAGCGGGGCAGGAGACTCCTAACAAAACACACCAGACCCAAGGAGCCTGAGAAGCGGGGTAAGGGTGGGGTGGCTGGAAAAGCGAACAAACTGCAAACGTCAAAGCTGGGGTGGTGGCAGCGGTGTAAGGGATCTGTTCTCAAAGGGGAGGAAGAGCACGACATAGAAGAAACCCCACCAATCAGGGCCGGCTCCAGCTTACTTTGCACCCTAGGCGAAGATCCCTTCTGGGGGCCCCCGTGCACCCACCCATTTTCAAAAATAAATGCATTTTAGGAAGAATGAAAAGCACGAATAATCAAGAAACTCCCAGAGTACGGGGCCGGGTGCAGTTTGGTGCCCCTAAGGGCCGTCCTGCTCTAGGCGATCGCCTAGTTCACCTAGTGAGTGAGCCGGCCCTGCTACCAATGCCTTGCAAGGGGGATCAAGGATTACATCTGCAAGGAAGCATCGGGAAAGGCGTTTTGCTACATGGAGGGCTGTGGGCCAATGCTCCCTCTAAGCTGTGGAGTCTTGTGAACAAAAATTCTACTTTGTGAGCTACTGGCATTAAAGTTTTGATGAGCAATTTGGCTCCTGCATAAATTGGTTTGCTCTGGAGCTATCCTTCCTGAGCTAAGACAAAAGTGTGTGAGCCGGAGGCTAAAAACCTGTGAGCTAGCTCACACTAACTCAGCGTAGAGGGAACAATTAGGCCACGATTCCACCAGAGCAGTATTGGATGCTGAATTCAGCTTCCTGAGGATGTCAGCTTTCACTGATTGTTGGGGAGGGGGAGCAAGCAAAGCACAAGCAAGTTTCTAGTCCTTAAGCTCCAAAGATTTATTCAAGAGCGGGCGAAATCTCAGGAGCCTCAAAGGGAGCAGGGGGAGGGGTCCAAATAAGAGAATATATTCTCTCTGCATCTATATGGAGAGCTAATCAAAATGTACGGCCTGTATTATAATAATTTAGTGACCTAGCAACTTTTATTTACCCTCTGCTTGTCTCAAGGAATGACGACGAATCAGGATATTCTTTATTTATAGACTGTGTGTCTTCCTGAATCAATCTTAGATGTGACTTATATATTACTCAGAGGGAAGAGATCTGTATTTTGTACACATCCATATTTATAAATAATTTTTTTGAAAGAGATTTCTAGTGGGTTTCTGGAAGAGGTTTTTGGCAAGCAGTGTCCTTCTTTAACCCGCTCTGTGACTAGCAGGCACATCATAATGCATGCAGAACAAAACAAAACAAATGCAGTCCTGTAAATGTGCTTCCCTTACATAATTCATGCAGATCACATAGCCCCATTTTTATGCCGCAGAACTTCAGCTTCCGCAGCGCAGGCTGAGCATAGCCCCGATTGTCGCTCTTTATGGGGAACTTCCAGAAGGGGAGTTACAGGGCCCAGGAGATCTTGTCCACGGAGGCTTCTGCCCATCCTTGCAAAACATGGATGCTGATCGGGGGTGGGGGGCGGGGACTGCGAGCAGGCAGCCCCGGACACACTCCCTCCTGCTCTTCCCATAGCAGGTGGCGCAAGGCATGACATCAGCACATCACACAGGCCACATGTAGCAATGTGGCGGTGGGGAATAAGGAATGACGTGAAAAAAGGACATGGGAGATTCGAGTCCAGAAGCACCCCAGAGACCAACAAGATTCCTGGGGTAGAAGTGTGTGACTCTCGAGGCCCTCTTCATCGGATACTTTTCCAAAAGCGCTGAAAATCATTGTCTCTTAAGGTGCTACTGGACTTGCCCTGAACTGGATGGCCCAGGTAAGCCCATTCTGGTCAGATCTTGGGTCCTTTCTGCACTAGACCTTAAATCCTGCTTCAACCCTGTCCCCGAACTTACGTTCTACACTACCCTCGAGTTCACCTCTGTAATTATCTCGGGAAATCTTTTGTTTCCACATTACACTGAGGTCACCCCGGTTTCACCCCACACTTGTCCCGGGATAAACGGATGCTCTTATAAAGGTAAAGGTTCCCTTGCTCGAAAGCCAGTCGAATCCGACTCTAGGGTTGCGGTGCTCATCTCCGTTTCAAAGCCGAAGAGCCAGCGCTGTCCGAAGACATTTCCGCACGGAACGCTGTTCCCTTCCCACCGAAGCGGTCCCTATTTATCTACTTGCAATTTCTTGCTTTCGAACTGCTAGGTTGGCAGGAGCTGGAACTAGAGACGGGCGCTCACTCCGTCGTGCGGCACCCTGGGTCTCGAACTGCTGAACTACTGACCTTCCACAGCCTGCAGTTCAGCGTCTTAACCACTTGAGCCACCGCAGCTCCTTATAACCAGGGATAAATGCAAGGAATTGTGTTGCGAGCTGAACTCTGATCAAACCAGGGATGGGATTCCAAGTGCGGAAAGGACCCTTGGAAGCTAAGCAGGGTCGACTCTAGCTAGTATTTGGATGGGAGACCTCCTTGGAATACCAGCAGTCGGGAGGCGGGGGCAGGCCTTATTCAGCCACCTCTCTTGAATAACCTCCAGGCCCCCAGTAGGGTTCAGTCACCAGGGGTCGCCGTGGCTTCCAGGTGCGCACGCACACACACACACACACTTAAAAAAAGGTGCAACTGAACTTGACCCTAGCTGTTCTATGACAGACCAGCACAGCTGCCCTCTGAGAGAAAGAAGCAGCAGCGTAACAGGGGGGCTGCCATTTGTGGCAGTGGTCCAGGGCCGGCATCAGGTGCAAAGGAAGCCGTGGAGGGGATCCCAGTCACCTCCCATTGCCCCTGACAGCCGGGTGCAAGCCGAGCCCCTGCAGCGCACCAGATCCCTCCTCCCTGTGCCACCCAAACGGGCAGCCGGGCTGGAAAACCGGTCCTGCCTGTGAGTGACGTCCCACCTTGCTCCTCTGGCCAGGAGACGTAACTCACACCACACAAGTCACCTTCAACTGGTCTTTTCTTCCTTATGGTGTGGCACAATGGTTACAGCCAGGGCTATTTTGGGGCAGAAACGCACAGGAATGGAGTTCCGGCTGGCTCCTGAGTAGGCCACGCCCAGCAGGAACTGATTAGCATAACAGGCCACACCCAACAGCAGGAACCCATTAGGATTGGCTACATTAGGGGTGTGTGGCCTAACATGCAAAGGAGTTCCTGCTACAAAAAAAGCCCTGGGTTTGGACAACAAACAAGGTAAACAGAATAAGAAGCAAAAGGTGAGTGTGGCTGGATGACCACACTTTTGGTAACATGGGGGTGCGGCCTAATGGGCTAATGAGCTGTGCTGTCAGGGGTGTGGCCTAATATGCTAATGAGTTCCTGCTGGGCTTTTTCTACAAAAAGAGCCCTTACAGCATTAGGCTAAGAACGGTTTGGCTGTGGGTTCTAATCCCCACCCTGCCATGCAAGCTCACTGGCTGACTGTGGGTCAGTAATAATAGAGAAGAGGAGAGGAGAGAATGGCTTTATACCTTGCCCTTCACTACCCGAAGGAGTCTCAGAGCGGCTTACAACCTCCTTTCCCTTCCCCTCCCCACAACAGACACCCTGTGAGGTAGGTAGGGTTGAGAGAGCTCTCTAGAGAACTGCCCTTGAGAGAACAGATCTGAAAGAACTTGTAACTGACCCAAGGTCACACCATCAGCTGCATGTGGAGGAGTGGGGAATGAAACCCGGTTTCTCCCATATTAGCATCCATGCTCCTAACCACTACACCAAATAAATAATTACCGTACGTTCTTGTGTGTAGTATAGCCAGGAGATCCTAAGACTGTCTGGCAGTCAAAAGTTCTAGCTCCTTTAGCCTCATGCACCACTAGGTGGTGAGCTAGACTTATTTTTTAAGGCAAGAGAGTGTCAGAGGTGGTTTGCCATTGCCTGCCTTCACATAGCAACCCTGGTATTCCTTTGAGGTTACCCATCCAAATACTAGCCAAGCCCGACCCTGCTTAGCTTCCGAGACCTGACAAGATCTGGGCCAGTGTCACAGACCCTTGGCCGAAGCTACCTTGCAGAGCTGTTGTGCGGATAAAACGGTGGGAGACGGGAACAGCATAAGCTGCCTTGGGTCTCCATTGGGGAGGGAAAGCAGGGTAGAAACGGAGCCGATAAAATACTCCGGGTGGCTCAGACGGCCCCGCTCACCAGTCCTGAAGGGTGCGGGTGATGGCGCTGAGCTCCTCCCTGCGGATGTCCCGCCCAATGCTGTAATCCACCTCCAGCCGCTGGTTCCGCTGGTCCAGGCTCCCGCGCAGGACGTCCGCGTACACGGCCTCGATCACCAGGTCCTCCAGCTGCCGCACGTTCTTCAGCTGTAGCTGGTCCAGCAGGACCGAATAAGGGATGCACTACAGAGGGGGGGACGGCACACACACAGGGCAGCATGAGGAGGGGCTCCCGGATGAGCAAGGGGAGGGGCATCCGCGGGGGGGGGAGCTACCTTGAGCTTGGAAGCCAGCGTGACCACCGAGAGATGGCGGAGTTTGTTCTTCTGAGCCTCGGTTAACGCAGGCAGATTCCCGGCCTCGGCTGAAAGAAAGAGCCGCCGTCACAGCCGGTTCACAGTCCCCTTGAGCACCCACTACTAGCTGAGGTCAACGCTCATTGTCCTTTCTCTCGCCCCATAATGCTAGAATCCGGGGGCACCCAAGGAAGCTGACAGGAAATAGATTCAGGACAAACTAAAGGACGTACTTCTCTGATCAGTGAGAAATGAAACGGTGGGATTGACTGCCAGAGGATGTAGTGATGGCCACAGACACAGATGGCTTTAAAATAAGGCTAGCAGATTTGTGGAGGTTAGGTGCATCAGTGGCTGCTAGCCACTGTGACTGAATGGAACCTCCACATTCAGAAGCTGTAAACCTCTGGACAGCAGTGCCAGGAGGCAGCATCAGGGGAAGGCCTCGACCTCTGTGCTCAGTTGGCTGGCCCTCCAGGGCAGCTTGTTGGCCATTGTATGAAACAAGATAGACTACTGGTCTGATTCCAGCAGGATTCTTCCTGCATTGTTCCACTCTCTAACATTTCCCCAAATTTCTCACATCTTGCTCTTTTCTTTTGGGTCAGCATCAGATCCCACTCAATTGTTAAAGGCAGGGGTAATTTCTTGCTGGAGCGCACAGGAGTGGAGTTCCGGCAGTAAAGAGCCCAGGGGGCGGGCACATTCGTACAAGCCCCACCCCCTGCTCCCAGCAGCTCTCAGTCAGAGCAAGAAGCAGCTAGGTAAGCTGCAGAGCCCGCCCCCCAGCACCAAAATACTCCAGTGGCGATCCATCCATCCGCCTGTCTGCCTAAGCACTGGGACATTTCACAGCCGAAAGAAGCCGAGCTGGGAAAAGTGAACGACACCGAGCCTCCACCAGGGTGCCGGTAGGCAGGCCCCCCCCTTGAACTGATGTGGCCGTAGTTAGGGTTGATATAGGTGACTAGCACCCAAGAATTGTAAACCGCCCAGAGACCCCTATGGGGGTTAGGGCGGTATATCAAGTCGAATGATAAATAAATAAATAAAAATTTAAGACCAAGTTTTGTTCAGGTACAAGCTCTCCCTCCTCTGCGAGGACAGATCTCCACCTCCCCCCCCCCCGATAGCTAGCAATCCAAAACAGTCCAGTGGAGCCTGAGTGGCGGGTATTGCCTTCTGACACACTTCCGGTGATGTCAGGGGGTGTGGCATATGCAAATGAGTTATGCTAATGAGCTCCTGCACCTCTTTTTCTACGAAATGACCCCTGGTTAAAGGCATGGTTCCTTTATGCAGTTGGTAGGTATTCATCCTACCCAGCCCTTCCTTGCTTTTTTTTTGGGGGGGGGGGTGTCTAAATTGGGCAGGTAGATAGGCCAGCTATCCATCCTGCAAACATATGGTGATTCTACTTTGGAGACTGGTTTCCCTGACCCTAAGCCCCTACCATTCAGCATTCGGTGTCCACCCCTGGCTGAGAACTGGGGAGCACCCTGCTGCGAGCTACACAAACCCACCAAGACAGACACCAGAAGCAGAGGAAAAGGGAGCCTAAAGGACCAGCCATGAGATTACAGTCATGGGATAGAAGAAATCCTAGGAATTCTGGGACAATGTGCAGCATTCAGACCTACCCACAGCTCGGGCCTATTTCACAGTCTGACCTGAGGTGATTTCCCCTCCAGTTCTTCCCCTCAGGCAGAATCGCTTCCACAGGGGTCGTGTTCTGCCTCAGGAGACAAGATGTCTGCAGATTCAGCCCCTACCAGCTATCCATCCTGCAAACATATGGTGATTCTACTTTGGAGACTGGTTTCCCTGACCCTAAGCCCCTACCATTCAGCATTCGGTGTCCACCCCTGGCTGAGAACTGGGGAGCACCCTGCTGCGAGCTACACAAACCCACCAAGACAGACACCAGAAGCAGAGGAAAAGGGAGCCTAAAGGACCAGCCATGAGATTACAGTCATGGGATAGAAGAAATCCTAGGAATTCTGGGACAATGTGCAGCATTCAGACCTACCCACAGCTCGGGCCTATTCCACAGTCTGACCTGAGGTGATTTCCCCCCCAGTTCTTCACCTCAGGCAGAATTGCTTCCACAGGGGCCGTGTTCTGCCTCAGAAGACAAGATGTCTGCAGATTCAGCCCCTACCACTCCACCGGCCCTGCTCCAGTTTTTCCATATCGCTACTCCCATTTCCCCAGGACAAGAAGAAACATACCCAGATAATCTGAATACGTCCCATACGCAAAGACAGTTAGCAGGCGGAAGACGGGGGAGAATTCACTGTCAGCTAGCTGTGGAGAGAAGAAACACACCAACATTCAGCAGGGAGAAAAACATGGCCAGAATCCCTTATGTTTTTACACAGGACACTCAACAGCTTTGAGGGGCAACGGCAGACATTTTAGGCTCTGCCCTCGCCAAGGTGGTCCGTCTGTCACTGGATTATACCCCTTCAGGCTACAGGTAGGGACTTAACAGGCATAGGCCGTTTTTTTTAAATACTGTTAATGAAATTATACCAAAAGCCTTACAGTTCTGGGGTAAAATCATGTCACAAATAGAAAAACTCATGACAAAAGATCCCATTAGACCTGGTCAAGATTCTGCTGGAAAAGTCTGATACTCAGCTGATCCCTAAAATCAGAATGGAACTAATTTCCAGAATGGAACACAGATGAATTTCTAATACCTTCACACGGGGGGAAAAAACCCTCCACTCTACCTACCATTAAAAAATGGTCTAGTGAAGTCTGGGAGCTTCTGATACTGGATAAAATATCTCTGCAGCTGACAACAGCCGACGGCACAATACATTCAGCGCATTTTATGGACAGATGGTCACCCATTTCTAGAATTTACAGAAAACTCTACCTTGCAGATTCATAAATGTCCTCTGAAATTTAGCTCCATCCTGCTTTACAACTACTGTTTCTCAGAAGTTAGACACTTTTTATCTGATTACTGTCTTGAGGGTAGGATACAGAGCCATTTAAGCAACCTATTATGATTTTTCTCTCCTCTGTCTCTTGTTGGCACCTCATTTTATGTTTCACGTTTTGAGTCTTGCATTTTAAATTTTACATCTTCAATTTAAATCTGACACTGTATTTTTCAGACTGCTGCTCTGCAGGCTTGACACTGCGGTTCTCTCCTATTTATTTCTCGTTGATTGTGACAAGAAATCCAATAATACAAAAAAAAAGTTTAAAAAGCTCTGTGCGTAGGAAACTGGATTCTGGGCTGAAGAATTCCACCCAGGCTTGACCCTTGACACGTAAGGAAGGCTTTGATACAGAGGCCCTGTGGTACTGTCAGGTCTTTCGGCAGCCTTTCATGCTCTTGACCATCAAATTATTTTGGGATTCATGGCTGGAGTGACCTGACTACCCCAATCTTGGAAGGTAAGGAGGGTTGGCCCTGGTTAGTACTTGCGGGGCATGGGAGACCCTCAAGGAAAACTAGGGTTGCTGTGCAGAGGAATACGATGGCAAACCACCTCTGCTCATCTTTTGCCCTAAAAAACCCCTGTAATCCTGGGGTCATTGCAAATCGGTTGCAACTTGACAGCACGCATTTATTATTTTAAAGTCTAGTGTAGGGCTTCCAGGGTCAGGAGTCCAGGGGTTCCAGCCCTAGTTGGCTGGGACTTAGGTACAGTCATTCTTGACGCAGATTCAGCAGCTTGGGATTTGTCCTGTGGGGACCCAATGCAAGATCTCCGAACGAGAGCAGCTGAAGCCATCAGGGTTGGGTGTTGTCAATACAACGATAACCCCCAGTTCTACATTTGGTGGGGAAAACCCCCCCTGAGATCCTCAACCAATGCCTGGATGGTGGGTACTTGAGGGAAAATAAGATGAAACCACATTTGGGCAAGAGGGAAATGATGGTCCAGAGGAAACTCCCCTCCCACGAGTAGACGGAGTGAGGCCAGCACTTAGTGACCGTGCAAAAAGCTTAAGGGGGCACCATGATTCAGATCTGCTGTAAGAGTGTTCCCTCTAAGCCAAGTTAGTGTGAGCTAGCTCAGTTTTTAAGCCACCGGCTCACACATTTTTGTCTCAGCTCAGGAAGGAGGGCTCCAGAGCAAACTAATTGATGCAGCAGCCAAATTGCTGGCTCACAACTTTAATGCCAGTAGCTCACAAAGTAGAATTTTTGCTCCCAAGACTCTGCAGCTTAAAGGGAGCATACAAGCAGGGCTATTTTTGGGCAGGAACGCACAGGAACGGAGTTCCGGCTGGCTCCCAAGTTGGCCACGCCCAGCAGGAACTCATTAGCCTAACAGGCCACACCCAACAGCAGCAACTCATTAGGATTGGCTACAATTAGGGGTGTGTGGCCTAACATGCAAAAAGCCCTGGGTTTTGACAACAAACAAGGTAAAGAGAATGAGAAGCAAAAGGTGAGTGTGGCTGGATGACCACACTTCTGGTAACATGGGGGTGTGGCCTAATATGCGAATGAGCTGTGCTGCCAGGGTATGGCCTAACATGCGAATGAGTTCCTGCTGTTGGGTATGGCCTATTATGCTAATGAGTTCCTGCTGGGCTTTTTCTACAAAAAAAACTCTGCATACAAGGAACATGTTCTTTCAGGCACCCCTTGGGCAGAAATTGTCCTCCCTTTTAGACTCACCAGAAGTGGCCTTGAGTTTTTCAATTATTATTATTGTTGTTATTATTGTTATTGTTATTATTGCTATTGTTGTTGTTATTTTGCCACCGAGTTGTAGCCGACTTAACGGCAACCCCACAAGGTTTTCCAGGCAAGAGACATTTCAGAGGCAGTTTTGCCACTGTCTGCCTCTGTGCAGTGGCCCTGGGATTTCCTTGGTGGGCTCCCATCCAAGTAGTAACCAGGGCCGACCCTCCTTAGCTTCCAAGACCTGACAAGTTCAGGCTAGCCTGGGCTATCCAGGTTAGGGCAACCGAGTTTAAACTCCTGAAATTGTTTTTAAAGACAATGGGGAAACTTCCAACAGGTACAGAACGTAGCGGCCCACGTACTGATCAGAGCCTGCAGACGGAAACGCCAGTCCTAGAACAGCTATTGTTCCATTTGTTGCCAGGTTCAGCTTAAGGTGCTGGTTCTCCAGGTATGAACCATGCGCCTGCTTTGTACCTGCTGATGCTCTGTACTGGGGGGGCGGGAGGCTTTCTTAAAAGAACCAAAAACTCAAAGCTCAACTGCTGCCTGATCGCAGGCTTTTCCGGCTGTTGCTCCAATTTCATGAAACGAGCCATTCGGGAAGACTAGGGGACCGCCCTCTCCCCCCCAAATTTCAGAAAGCGCTGGACAGCTGAATGATTTCAAAGGCCCTTTGGCTAAACAAAGTGCTGCCTATGATCAAACGGTGGGCAGTTATTAAATAAGGACCCTGCATTACCACCACTCCAAAATATTTGCAAGAGCATTACGTGTTGCCTGTTCTGCCAAGGAATCCACCTCCATCCCCCAAGTCACAGAACCTCTGATCACTGCCAGCCTCTGATCACTGCCAAGGAGGGCATTCTCGGATTCCTGCACCATATTCAGAAGGAACATTGATTGGGCCTTGCCGTTGCACTTATGAACTACCCGTGTACCCTGGAACACCCACTGGCACTCTGTCGTGGAGGTGCCCATTTTGGGAAGGCCGACTTTCTTTTGGATGCCCAGATGAGAAATCCCTGGTAACTTTTCGAGGAACTCCAGCCCTTTCCAGCACAGCTGAAAAAACACAAACTTGCTGCCAGGACACAGCCAGAAAAAGTTCGTTGGTGAGGCGTGGGGCGCCCTTGCTGCTCCTCTTGCAGCAGCAGAAGCAGCAGCCCCAGCTCCACTGGGACCTCTACTCCTCCTCTAGTGCTCTCGATTGGAGAGACTGCTTTTCTATGTAAGCTGGGGGGGGGGGAATCTCCAACTCTACATCTTTTGCATTTTGCAATTTTATTTTATTTTATTTGCATTTTTAAAAACCTATTCATTTTTTGCCCTGGAAAAAAGAAAATGAGACTGAAGCTTTTCTGACTGTGCCTGGGGTCATTTTGGAAACCCCACACAATCTTACATTTTAAAAACATGTTAAAAAAATTTCTCTCCCAAGGGGGCGGCACTCATCTGTGGGGGGGCATTGCCCCCAAATGCCCCTGGCTACGGGCCTGTTTGTGGCATGCTTTCTGCAATTGGGGGCAAAGCCCCTAATCTAGGCTCATCAATGCTACAACTCAGCTGATAACAGAAAGAGAGGGAGAAACTACTCAAGCTGCTAATTTAAACAAAGTGTAGACAGGGTGTTTGTCTGAGATGTAAGCATTGTTGCCTTGATTTGGGGCGGGGAGGATTAACGTGTGAGATGTTTAACAGCCACTGTACCAGCTCTGAGTTGTTGATTGCAGAACTGATCCTGCACTAGACAAAGCACAAGGGGTTACTCAGACAGAGCCTTATAAAACTCTTCAGGTCAGGGGCAGGCAATCTAAGAAAGGGACACTAGACTATTTTGTCTGGCATGACAGCCCCCTCACTTCATCCCAAAAACCAGGGACGTAGCCAATGTTCCCTCTAAGCTGTGGAGTCTTGTGAGCAAAGATTCTGCTTTGTGAGCTACTAGCATTAAAGTTGTGAGCAGGTGATTTGGCTATTGCATAAATTAGTTTGCTCTGGAGCCCTCCTTCCTGAGCTGAGACAAAAATGTGTGAGCTGGAGGCTAAAAAACTGTGGGCTAGCTTACAGTAACTCAGCTTAGAGGGAACACTGGACGTAGCCCAGCTGGGATGGGTTCACATCATCAACCTTCCTAAAGCATTCTTATTGTAGTCCTTTAGGGTAAAGGTAAAGGTTGAATTCGAGTCTAGGGTTGCGGTGCTCATCTCCGTTTCCAAACCGAAGAGCCAGCGCTGTCCGAAGACGTTTCCGTGGTCATGTGGCCGGCATGACTAAACACCAAGGCTCACGGAACGCTGTTCCCTTCCCACCGAAGCGGTACCTATTTATCAACTTGCAATTTCTTGCTTTCGAACTGCTAGGTTGGCAGGAGCTGGAACCAGACACAGGAGCTCACTCCGTCATGCGGTACTCAGGTCTCGAACTGCTGAGCTACCGACTTTCCAGACTGCAGTTTAGTGTCTTAACCACTTGAGCCACCGCAGCTCCTTTACTTCCATGCAAAATCTATATACGAGATATGCCATGCATCTGGCCAAGGATAACCCTCCCTTCACCCTTCTGTTGGCCAGCATATCAACACCGTCACAAGTAGGCGCTATATTTTTTACTAGCACTTGGGCCCCCCCATGGCTGACTACCCTTGCCCTAGGGCTTCGTCCCCCTGGGTCTTGGGACTCACCTCTCGGACACTGGGCATATCCAGGAGCTCCCCAAAGACGTAGATGCCCGGGGCTTCCAGCACTTGATGGATGAGGCTGGCCAGAGCAGCTCCGCGGGCAGATTTGGCCAGCAGCAGGAACTGTTCCTGGTTCTGCCCGGTCACCTTCACCTCGGCTGCCATGGCGCCTCCGAAGCAGGCCGCTCCAGGGCCAGGATGCAGCCCCCCAGGACCTAGAGAAAGGAGTAAGCAAGCCAACTGGAGTGACAGCTCACTCAGGAACAAACCAGGTGTGACGGTCAATGCTCCCTCTAAGCTGTGACTTGTGAGCAAAAATTCTACTTTGTGAGCATTAAAGGTGTGCGTGAGCGATTTGGCTACTGTATAAATTAGTTTGCTCTGGAGCCATCCCTCCTGAGCAAAGACAAAAATGTGTGAGCCGGAGGCTAAAAAACTGTGAGCTAGCTCACACTAACTCAGCTTAGAGGGAACAGTGGTGACGGTGTCCTCGTGTCCACCACGGGCACACAGCCACCATTTAGAAGGGATTTAAGTGCCCAAACAACTGCATTCATGCTGCACGTCCTCACAGCAATTTTAAATGACTTTAAAATAATGGTGGACTCTGTCTAGTTTGGCCCTCATTTTTCCCCAAGGCAAGTCACATGATTTGAAGGTACTTCAGAAGCAAAGACACACCTGAGTTTTCCAGCTCTGGCATCTCCAGTTAAGACAAAGAGTAGCAAAAGTGACAAGAGTTAAAGTTACAAAAGTTAATTCACCCCTGCACTGTTTCACAGGTCATATCCTCCCACCCCCCGCAAAGCAACTTCATTAAAAAATAAAGACAATTACAGTTCTAAGAAGATTTACGAACTTGGGAGTAAGTATGAGGTGGTGGAATGGAGTGCCGACTTCCGGCTGCAGATACTGTCTTTTTTCACTAGTCCCCCGTGTGAATAACTCCCCGCAAATGAAGACCTAGCCCACCAAGGGAAATGTACTGGCCCAGTCCACCCCTTGGCACACTAATTTTCTATTTGCATGGAATTTATACACAAATCACATGAACATGAACCCGCTTCATACTAAGTCAGTCTACTGAAGTCAGTTCTGTCTACTCTGACCAGTAAACAATGTAAGAATAAGGAGAAAGCGCTCCTGAGCAGATGCAGAGTGTATTTCCCCCCTCATCCACTGAGGTCAGTTAAAGAGTGGGAAACACATGAAGCTGCTTTATACTGATTCAGACTACTGATCTCTCAAGATCAGGACTGTCAATTCTGACTGGCCATGGCACTCCAAGGTCACAGGCTGAAGTTTGAGGGGTTGTGGCTCAGTGGGTAGAGCATCTGCTTGGCGTGCAGAAGATCCCAGGTTCAATCCCTGGCATCTCCAGTTCAAAGGAATAGACAGGAGGTGATGGGAAAGACCTCTGCCTGAGACCCTGGAGAGCAGCTGCCAGTCTGAGTAGACAATACTAACTTTGATGGGCCAAAGGTCTGATTCAGTATAAAGAAGTTTCATGTGTTCATCTACTATATGTTCTTTTTAACCAGAGGTGCATGGAAAGTAAACGCCCTACCACTGAGATACCCTACATCGGGTTAAAAAAACAACACCCAAATTGATCCCTTATCTGCATTCTGCACTGAGGCAACCGAAATAAATTCGTAATCCATAAACAATAAATTCATACCGAAATAAACGTTGTCAGGCTTTTACGGTGCCACCAGACTGCAGCTTCATTTCTTAGCCCAATCTACCGCCTCTTTATACGTCCCCCCCTTATCTCCCACCCACCCCCGCCCCCAATTATTCCGCAGGTGCGCTCCAGGTCCCAAATACCCCTGATGAGAAGCACAGGGCCCGATCTGCTCGTGTGAACAAGGCCGGCTCTGGGAAGAGACGAGGGGGGTGGGCGGGAGTGAGCGCTCCAAGGCAGAAAGCCAGTGGGGCTGTTTGCCCCCTACCCCAGAAAGGGTGGGGGGGAGACGCAGGGAACTCGAGGAGAGCGCTGTGGGGTCGGGGTGAAAAGAGGGAACTCAGGACCCCCTTCCCAACGAGGAGCTGTCACTCCGTGGGGCGTCCCCCAGCCGTTGCTGCTCCTCCCCCGGCCCTGCGAGCACGGAAGGGAGACCAGGCCCGCCTTCTCCTCGGCCTCCCCCTACCTGAGGAGGGCTTCCTTTCCCTGCCGAGAGCCGCTGCGGGGCAGACCGGCGGTCCCTTGCCCGGAGAGGGACCACTTCCGGGTTGGTGGCGTCACAGGCTGCCCTCCACGCCACGCCTCCCCGCCCTCCCATTGGCCGGCTCTCTCCGGGGGGGAGAGCGGGGCGGAGCCGCCAGAGGTGTACAGCTGCGCGCGCCTGCCACGCGGCTCTGTTTTCCTAAGGTTGCTCGCCCCCCTCCCCCCGTTCTTTGCAGTCCGGCGGCTGAGAGGAGCCAGTCAGCAGAAGGACCCGCCGGCAGCCAAAACGCAGCCCGGGGCTCCGCCTTTGGAGGTGGCCAGAGGGGCGACCGGATCAGCCTCCTGCCGCAAAGGAGACAGCAATAAACCAAGATGCAGGTGGGCTAGGGTTGCCAGCCTCCAGGTGGGGCCTGGGGATCTCCCGCTTTTACAACTGATCCCCAGCCGACAGAGATTAGCTCCCCTGGAGAAAATGGATGCTTTGAAGGGTGGACTCTATGGCATTGTATTATGTTGAGGCCCCTCTCCTCCCCAAACCCCACCCTCTCCTGGCTCCACCCCCAAAGTCTCCAGGTATTTTCCAACCCAGACTTGGCAACCCTAAGGTGGGCAGCAGTGTCCTCCCCCACCCCAGCTGAGTTAGTGTGAGCTGGCTCACGGGTTTTTTTTTTACCATCCAGCTCGCAGATTTTTGTCTTATGCAGTAGCCGAATCGCTGCTCACAACTTTAATGCCAGTAGGTCACAAAGTAGAATATTTGCTCCCAAGAGTCCACAGTTTAGAGGGAACACTGGTCGGCAGCCGTGTCGGTGAGAAGCAGCAGGACAGAGTTTGAGTCCAGTGGCATCTTTGAGATCAACAAAGTTTTATTCAAGGTGTAAGCTTTCGTGTGCAAAACACACTTCTGGAATAAAATTTCAAAAGGTAGTTACAGGGAAAAAGAGGGCGGGGACAAGCCGTTAGTGTCAGCTCGCTGCCATAAAGGCTGGTGGGAGGGTGGACGTTCACTCCTTGGAATGTACTTTCGGTTTCCTGGTTGCCTCAGTGATGCTCTCTTATCTGTATGTTTTATGTGCTTGGCCTTGAATGCTTCCTGTAACAACTTCCATTACATTCTGGTGGGCCCCGCTTCTCCCCTCATTGGCTCTACGCCACCCAGTGACCCCCTTTGAACAATGTATATCTGTTCACCCGGTGCTTTATGCTTTAATCTTAACACAGTTCCTGAAGTAGATGCCCTGCCAATACTGCTTCAATAAACTTCCCTTCTGAAGAAGCGAGTTGTTCAGTCTGATTGCTGCAGGAGTCTAACAGTTAAGAGGGACCACTCAGAGCCCAGATGCATATGCATAGCTGAAATTGGAACGGGTGACCGGTAGGATCAATGGATGGCGGCAAATTAGCACATAAATGCAAGAGTTAAGGAACAGATGTGAGAATGAAATTGGGAGACCAGCAGCACCCCCAAGATAAACCAAGCTCAGCCCTGTGTACCTGCCGAACAGAGACTCAGCACATGCACACTTTTTCACATAAATTGAAACAGATTTCCTCAAATATTACATGCATGTGGGGGAAGGTTAGTTGCCGGGAAGAGCTAATTAGTCAAGATACAGAAGTAACTGGGAAATAAATATAGCTAAGATTGGAATTACACATAGTGGGACATGTACATAGCAGTAAGGCATACAGATAATAAGGGAGTTAACAACAGATATGAGAACCAAGTTGGAGTCCAGTGGCCTCTATAAGGCCAATAAACCAACAAATAAATAGCCTCCCTCCCTGCGGCATAAATAGGTAGGAGTCATTGCATTGCATCTAGCGGGCTCCCCAGGTCCATGAACATTTATGCTGGGTTATTATTTGTAGTCTTTTAAAATGCCGCAAAACTCTTGTTTGTTTTTGCTGCAAAGGGAGATGTGGTCCATTAACGTTTGTGCAGAGATAAATCTGGTTGATTGTTTTTGGTTTGGATTTTTTTTAGTAATTTTTATTTCAACAGGTATAATCGTGGGTTATGTGAAACAAGTATGCCAAATCCATCGCAATTTAAGAACGTCAGTTGACATAATTTCTAGTAGCACAGTGATGTAAATATAAAAATCCATGTACAGATGCATTTTACCCTGCCACAGGACTCCAATTTATGCTGAAATAAAATCTGGAATATGCAGCAGTAAAGTATGGTGAGTCTTTAGAGTGCCTTTGGCCTACTCTCTGAAGTTCAAGGCCCACTGGTATGTCTACTGAAAATACATCTTGCACTTTAAAAAGTACGCAGATAGGCAAGTGATTTCAGCTAACGTACTTTATTTAGTGAGGAACAAGACAACTTTAGCCGGCTCGCAGGCTGGCTTATACTCCCCATGAAACCACCACCCAGAATACCCCCCCACATCACAATAGGTTATTTACAGTGGCCAAGAGTTCCATAGGCTCTCGGCCGGGAACCTAGCCCTCTGATAGGTGCGGACTAGGATCCACTTAGTTAATTGTTTCCTTGAGCGAAGCTCGACTTTTGCGCTTGACCGCGTGGAGCCCAAGCCGGCCACGCGGTCCGAACTGGATACATTACACGCTTTTAATGTGAAAGCATATATTCTGGCATGTCCCCATATGAATAGGGAGCTCAAAATGGCATGGCTGTAATGTGGGCAAGCTTGTTACCGTACAGCCAAATTGCCAAACAACAGGGAAGGAGAAGCTTTGGTGAATTTCTTGGGGAGGGAATTCCACCATGGTGGTATTTACGGCTCCTGTACACCCAGCAGCACTAATTTTATCTTTCAGATCAGTGTGGCAGAGCATTTCCACGTGATCTCAAACATGGGGTATACAAAGGTCTGTTGAGCCCAGTAGGATTTATTTTTAAGGAAGCATATTGAGTCAGGTGGCACATTTTTTTAAATCCCAGCACCTTAAGCAGGGTGTGAGAATGTGGACAAAGCAGCTTTTCCCTCAAGAGTATAAAGGAGAAGAATTAGTCTTTATACCCCACTTTTTTCTATCTTGAGGAGTCTCAAAGCAGCTGACAATCGCCTTTCCCTTCCTCTCCCCACAACAGACACCTTGTGAGGCAGGTGGGACTGAGAGAGTTCCAAGAAAACTCTGACTAGCCCAAAGTCATGTGGAGAAGTGGGGAATCAAACCCGGTTCTCCTGACTAGAGTCCACCGCTCTTAACCACTACGCCACACTGGATCTATGAGTGAAGGAGTCCTAAGCATGTACAAAATATCTTTCACACAAGAAGCCAATTATGTTTAGTGTGCCTTAAAAGTGTTGCTGTGAACCCCCAAGATTTTTAAAAAAATCAATTTAAGGGGAGAGTGTCTCTGAGCATGTACAGAGTGCTTCCCAACTACAAAGCATTTTTGATAGGTCTTTCTTTTCTCCCAGGAAGGTTATTTTTACAAATTAGGGTAAATACACTGGCTACACAAGAAAGCCTCCCAAGAGAGATAGTATCCGTAGGGAAAATAAGTTATTTTTACCCCTGCTAAGAACACTGATGAGGCTGGGGCATATAAACTAAGCAACTGGCTCAGAGAGAAAGGATTTAACCCCTCCTGCTCCCCTAGCCCCCCCCCCCAAATTGGAGCCTCCACCAGGTGCTCTGTGGTTAAAAAAAGACTTTGGGAGGTTTGCAGTGCAATTCTGATCAGAGTGACACCCTTCAAAGCTTATTGACTTCAGTAGACTTAGAATGGCCTAACTATGCTTAGAACTGTACTATTGATCATGGGTATGTTGCTGCACATGTATGTGGTCCGCAGCACTCACAGAAAGGGGATAAATTGGCTCCTCATAATGTTAATGGTGAATATTTTCTGAATGCTCAAATACTTGACAAATATTTGCCCAATAGAACTTGACATCCCATCATAATTTGGAAGCTCACTGGGTGACCTTGGGCCAGTCACACACACTTGCAGCCTAAACTACCTCACAAGGTTGTTATTGTTGGAAGCGAAGGACTTTGCGCTGTCTCTTAGCCTCAGACTTCAGAGGGGGACTATAGAGAGTCAGAAAGATAGACAGGCCAGGACCAATGCTCCCTCTAAGATGTGGAGTCTTGTGAGCAAACATTCTACTTTGTGAGCTACTGGCATTAAAGTTGTGAGCGAGTGATTTGGCTGCTGCCTAAATTAGTCTGCTCTGGAGCCATCTTTCCTGATTTAAGACAAAAATGTGTGAGCCAGAGACTAAAAAACTGTGAGCTGGCTCACCCTAACTCAGCTTAGAGGGAACACTGGCTAGGACCCCATCATCCTTCCCTTTCTACTGCTCTGATGCTGCCCCTTTTGATGTGTAGATTGCTAGCCTCAGGGAATCTTCCTTCCTTCCAGCCTGACACCTTCTCTCCACACTATGCCAGCCTTCTCCATCTTGGCACCATGAGAGCAGGACATGCTTACTGCATCTCTATCTATCCTAGTTAGTTAGTCTATATTAGAACCCTATCTCTACTCTACCCTGTCTAGAATGGAGTTCCTTCCAATAAAGGACTCACAAAGAGGCTCCGAGTGTAACTTTGTTTCTTGTCAGCACACACACTAGATAGACTCTGCTCTGTTGTGTGTCTTAAGCACTCCGCTAACCCAAATAATCCTTCATTTATAAGGCTAAAATGGAGGAGGGAGAATGTTGTAAGCCGCTTTGGGTCCCTGCTGGGGAGAAAAGCAGGGCATAAGTGAAGTTAATCAATCAATCATACTTCATGTCAATCGTTGTTCTGTATCTGCACAACATTTAGCATTCACTAGTATTTGGCAGCGGGCCACTGATAATAATAGGATTCCACACTTGGTGCCTGCTGAAACAATCAAGAGATGCAAACAGATCCAAAGCACTTGAATTTGAAATGTTGAGTTCAAATGTCCCATTCACAGTGCACGTTTTCAGAGACAACATTTGGGGAAGATGTTTTCTTAAATAGTCACAAATAATCATTTCAGCTCTAAGAAGGAAGAAGTCTGTTCTCCTGCTTTACGTTTGTTTGTTTTCCATTTAAAATATTTGCATTATGCCTTCCCTAGTCTCAAGGTAGTTTTCATAAAAACGCA